GTATAGAGGCTGGTAATGAAAAGTAAAGGTTTGTTTTCGTCTTAAATACTCAAAAGGTGAAAACAGGTTCAGGCCTGGCCATAAGACTTTTAGCAAGGAGCAGCAAGAAGCTCTCCTAGTAATTTCCAGATAAGCCCTTCGTAGATAAAAAAAAGCGAAAACAAGGAAACTGATTTCAAGGAGATCAATTTTCTTTTTAAGAGTAATTTGGTGGAGTTATTTGTACCTCCCCTCATTTAAGGAGAGCCTGGAGGAAAGCAAAATATATGGCTCTCCTCAAATGACCAGGCCTGCTCAGAATTTATCTATGTATTGTATAAAGATGCTGTTAATGGAGAGACGCATATAAGGATAATGGTTTGACTGCATTATTTGGTCTATACCACTCAATGTCCAACCTGTGGTGGAAGAGTCCTTAATAAACAATATTACTTTTTCTATCGAAACCGGCGCAGGTTTCTATTTTGTAGAGACAGTAAACTTTCCTGTCTTTTTGTATGATCAGTATTTTATAGTCCGTCAAATTATTGTTGAATGTAATCAGCGATGCTTTTGAAGTGCTAAGGTCTGGGTACCAGGGCGATGTCATAACAGTATTTAATCAGTAGAACATTTAGGCCGCTCAGAAGCTCTGATGAAAGTTCTGTTTGTTTTAGCTTGCCACCACAGTTTTTTTGCTGATCGATGTGATTGGGTCAAGTTGGAAGGAAAGTGTTGCTATTGGCGATCGCAACATCGTCGAAATTGTTTTCAGAGTTCTAGAACTGGGGGTCGCCCTTTGGTTTCCTTGTGTCTTGTGGAACGTGCACAAGTGAGCTTGTTGGTTTTTTGAAATCTTGATATAATTTTTTTTCATCTGTTCAAGTTGCAATATGTATGTATGCTTATGTATGTTTCCATGATGGTCTGCGAGATCGTTTCCCTCGTGGAAACAGACGTGAAAAGAAAAATATGATCGAAATCTTGATGCTAAAAACAAGTCTATTTCTTTGTAGAAGCTTTTTTATATTGGCTATGTTCTGCTTGCTATGAACGACTGATCTATGTAATACAGTATCTGCGAGCAACAAACAACAAGCTATTTTATCATTTTCAATAAGCAGCATTTATACAGCAGAGTTTAGTGTTTCATAATAACGGCTTCATTTTGAAAAAGTCTTCAAATTCTTTTGTACAAAATTGTTGACCTCGGGTTCGGATGGAGAGCAAGGATTTTAGTCTACTTGGAAGTTTTCATTATGACATTGCTCACGATATTGCTTTTATGACGACATAAAGATAAACATTTTATAACTGATTTGACCGTGATTGGCGACTAGGGGGGTAAAGTTTCACCCGGAATGATTTTGCGGTCAAATCCCTTACAAGTTTTCAAACTTCATTTCTCCGTAAAATCTGAAATACAAGCACAAACAATGTGAAAAATTGTATCCAGCCTAAAATTATGGTGATAAAACCAAATATGAGCTTAAAAAGTGGTATAAAGAAATCTCCAAAACGAGGCCTTGCATACAACCAGTTGTGAACAGTTAGCATGCAAATGGTGAGATTTGTATAGTCCGTTGCCCATAATGGATAGAGTTTGTCGTATGGTTTATTCTATTAAAATATTATTGGAAGAGATCCGTTTTCTTGCAGATCTTTTTCCATTAAGGTATGCTTAAAATATAGTTATATAATATACAAATTTGAGAATTTCGTTTAAATGGTGCGGTAAGTGTGATTTCTCTTTTTGTTTTGTCAACAGGCCTGAAGAGTTGTGGTTGCTAAATCCAGCAAAGCTGCTGCATAGAAGAAAGGTAAGTTCGATTTGTCAGTATAGTTTTTTTGGATCGACGCCGCTTTCCATTGAAATTGCCGTGTACGTGCGACCTTGGCAAACTCGAATCGAACTGTTCAGCGAATGGACGGGCAGCAATTGGAGAAGGTTAATTTTGCGCATGCCTAAACGGTGTCAGAGAGATGAGGGCAAAAACTGTTTTTAGTATGTTTGATTGTTGACCACATTACCTGAAAGAAGCCAGATACCTTAAAAAATATCTGTCAAATATGTCACAAATTAGCAATATAAAGCGAGTCACAGAATTTAATTTATTAGCAAATTACTGTTTTTTGGTCTGGTTCGCATATTATTAGAATTGAGATGAAATGGAATTGAATGGCTTTGGAACTAGCTTGTGCTAATGTGGTCAAATCGCAGCCAGTTTGTAACATATTGAACTGATTTTGGTATTTCCTGATGATGCTTCAGATAACATTGTCCAAGTTAATAGATTTTTCAATAGATTTAAAAGTCTTGTTTAGTGTTTTTTGACCCAATTACTTTAGGGCCCTATTGTTGATTTTTTGTTTTTTTGGAAGGCAAAGCAAACAGAAGCATCTTCCTTATTAAATGAAAAAAGCAAAGGCTATGACACGTTTCAATCGAATGACTCTGACGGTAAGATTATTTGTATTTTAAGAGAAGACTGGTTGTCTTCGATTATGCCTGTAGTGAAGGCCCTGTTCTTTTTGAAGAAGACAGAAAGATTGCTAAGCTCCATGAAACACTAGACGATTAACTGCATTAAGACAAACCTTAGGATTATGCTATTGAGCATAGCAAGGCGAAATTTCGCGAGAGTTCACCCAAAAGCAGCCGTAATGTTTTAGTAAATCATATGAACGTTGTAAATTTCTAATTTTGGTTGATTTTATCTCGAGTATATTTTCATGGCGGCCCAAAACTCCAGTGGTGCTTTTCCTCCACATCTAGGGGTTCTTTCGAGAAAGTTGTAAACAAAACAGGCAAAACTGGCGAGCTCTGATTTTCGGACGAAATTCCGCCTTATTATTGAGCAACAATAAAATTTTTGCTCTTTCTTAAAAGGGTGTTATACCGAGATTAAATTAGAGGCGTTAAATTAGTGGGAACAATAAATTATCTTGTTAATGAAGGATTTTCCGCGTTATCTAGATAAATTATGAATTGAGTAGAAAAATTTAACGTATCGAGGCAATATTTATTAGCAAACACTTCTGTGAATCTATTCAGAAAAAAGTTTTCCTGTAAATCTTTGAAATCTGGTTCTTACAAAATCCCTCGAAAATACAATCGACACCTTTCAAAGAAGATTTTTGAGGAAGGTCATAATGTCCACTGGCCCAGAATTATCTCGAACGAAACGCTGTATAAATATACCTACAGAAGGCTTTTGAGCATTAAAACCCTAAAAAGAAGATTATCTTAGTTCAGTCATCCCACGAGGATAGCATTGCTCAAATAGGTCTGAGCCACTTCGCAAAGCCTATGGAGAAACCACGTGCCCTATCACGGCAATAGGTGAAGGAATAATACAGACACCAACCTGACTGGAAGCTTTGAATATAAGCTTGAAATCCTTGGAGATTTGTGTTCGGACTGGAATAGTGCTGTTAACAATGTTATGTCTCCATTTTAATTGTTGTCTTGCCCCCTTGAAACTAATGAACATCTGTGTTTTCTGATTGAAACCGTTTTCAATTCATGGATTTTGTTATAGATGGGCGTAAAAAGGAAGATTACAGGTGCAAAAAAGGAGTTTATTTATAGAAGAGGGGCCTTTCATAGAAAAATATTTCGAAAGAACTGTTCCAATTTTATGACTCGCTGTAAATTTTTGATATATTATAAAAGAATTTTGGTTGGCTATAAAATTTTCGCTGGTCTTCCTTGGATAGTGCTGTTGCTGTATCTATACTGGGACTCGGAACCGCAGAAACAACTTAGAAGTTTCCGGTTGTCTACCCCAAAACTTATGCAGCTCTGTCAGGAGATCGATTAGGATTGAACTTATTTACTTTTGGTTGTTTGACATCGATGATAGCCCTTGTTTAACAAACAGAAAAGCAGAGGTACTGTAAATATAGACTGTTTTCCCTTTTTTCTGCTTTTACTAACTGGACGGATTCACATAACAGGGTGGATACCCATAATATTAAGGGCATTGCCACCAGTTTTGGCTGATTTGAATCCGGAATAGTGTCAGGATGAAAGAATTACAGTAACACAATGGTTTACATCCTTTCAATGACAGTAGTTGCCTTGTTAAACCGCGAGAGTGATTTATTTGTTTTTCGCAATGTTGACGTTTGTGGCAGAGAAATCCCTTTCAGGCTGATAGCTTTTTCTATTTGTGTTGGTTGATAGATCTAGCAAAAGTTGATCTTGAAGAAAACTGCTGGATTTGCTATGACACAACACGAACCGATGTTGGACAGTTGATTTCACCGTGTAATTGCAAAGGGGATACTTCAATTGTTCATGAAGGCTGTTTAAAGAAATGGCTGCTTGAGGTATGCATCTTGATTCTGAATTTGCTTCCCAGTAAGGGGTTACGGCTAAGATATTCATGAATTCTTTAATTTGAACAATTTTTTGGCGGTACAAAATTGAAAATGGCTTTGAAAAAGGAAACATCTTACAACATACCAAAAGCTTTTTCCAAAAGGTGTCTTGTGCTTGCGTTTTTCTGATTGGCCTATTTCGATCAACAACTGGGTAGATGGTTTCCATCTTGTTCTTTCGTAACCGTATTCTGACGTTTTATAATCTAAGGTTATCAGACGAAGAAGCTTTCAGTATGTATTAAAATGTTTGATTTTTTCAAAGCCATTTTCAAGCTCTTTAATTAATTTAGGAATTTTTTGAATTTCGTATCTGAATCGAGGTTTGACGTATTATTTCATAGTTTCTCATTGTAGCCAATAGCCACTCAGATTGAGCCCTAAGCATATTTATCTTGTAAACACGCACAGACAAGCAAGCTCAGCACAAATGGTAGATTCGTAGAAATTTGAAGCTAAGATGCTATTACACTTTCGTCGTTATTTTTCAGTCTTTGCACGATCTGGAGGAATCCCCAACATGTAAAATTTGTAAAGCACAGGTAAGCAGTGCTCTGCAGTATCTCAAAGTTTTTTAATTTTGGTTAAAAACGAAACCTGTAGAAAATCAACGCATAGGTAGGTAGGCCGTTTCTAATACAACCCGGTCTTCCTTCTTCCATAAAACAAGACTATAGATACTAATCTATGAATTTACTTCAATTATGATTTGACCAAGGAGTTTGTACTAATAGTTTGTGTCTAATAGTACATAGTTTGTCAATGTTATTCGATCGAATATGATTCTCGATATTACTAGTAGTATGTGTCTAATAGTATATAGTTTGTCAATGTTATTTGATCGAATATAATTCTTGCTATTACTAGTAGTGTGTGTCTAATAGTACATAGTTTGTCAATGTTATTCGATGGAATATAATTCTTGATATTACTAGTAGTATGTGTCTAATAGTACATAGTTTGTCAATGTTATTCGATCGAATATGATTCTCGATATTACTAGTAGTATGTGTCTAATAGTACATAGTTTGTCAATGTTATTCGATCGAATATGATTCTCGATATTACTAGTAGTATGTGTCTAATAGTACATAGTTTGTCAATGTTATTCGATCGAATATGATTCTCGATATTACTAGTAGTATGTGTCTAATAGTACATAGTTTGTCAATGTTATTCGATCGAATATGATTCTCGATATTACTAGTAGTATGTGTCTAATAGTACATAGTTTGTCAATGTTATTCGATCGATTATCATTCTTGATATTACTAGTAGTTTGTGTCTAATAGTACATAGTTTGTCAATGTTATTCGATCGAATATAATTCTCGATATTACTAGTAGTATGTGTCTAATAGTACATAGTTTGTCAATGTTATTCGATCGAATATAATTCTCGATATTACTAGTAGTATGTGTCTAATAGTACATAGTTTGTCAATGTTATTTTCGATCGAATATAATTCTTGATATTACTAGTAGTATGTGTCTAATAGTACATAGTTTGTCAATGTTATTCGATCGAATATAATTCTTGATATTACTAGTAGTATGTGTCTAATAGTACATAGTTTGTCAATGTTATTCGATCGAATATAATTCTCGATATTACTAGTAGTATATGTCTAATAGTACATAGTTTGTCAATGTTATTCGATCGAATATAATTCTTAATATTACTAGTATAATGTGTCTAATAGTACATAGTTTATCGATATCATTCGATTGTGTTCAACTTTCTCGCAACAAGATTCACCAAATCGAGTTGTTTTGTAGTACAACGTGCACGAGACTTCTGCTTGGTATTCATTCGTTCTACATAAAAGGTATGTATTTTACTCAAAATCTTTTTAATGTGTGAACAATTTTTTTGGTGGTACAATTCCTATAAATGGCTTTGGAAAAAGAAAGCATTTTATAACATTCTGACGATTTTTCGTCTGACTCCTCAAAGTATAAAACGTCAGAGTCAGGGTCGAAAAGCTCAAGTTGAAAACGTATACCCAGTTGTGGATCGAAATAGGCCAATCAGATAAACGCGAGCACAAAACTGGTATAGTTGTCCAATCACTACTGCGTGCATGTAGAAAATTTGCCACTGGAGTCCAAGGGTGAAACTAACTTTTGTTTTTTTTCCTTTTTCTATCCATCTGAAAGTTTACAATAATGAATTATTAACTAACGAACTACTATACTAGTAGGCGGAACAAATATTACGACTACCCACTGGCCTTTTAACATGGATCTAAAACACAACTTCAAAATGATTCTTATTAATACTAGAATGATTTTACAAATTAAAAGAAAATAAAAGAAAGTTTAACGAGAAAAAAGTATGGCAGAGCAAGAAATAGTGTTCCGTGTCCTGAACGACCGAAAACTAACCCGTCCTGTTTACACCATAGTGGCTTTTTCGTTTTTATGTAGACAGATTTGAAAAATGCTAGACGAAGAAAAGACGGCCTGGCTCCGACTTTTTGACTTATTTAATCTGACTTTGAAATCGAAAGGAAGTGCTACTAATCCATTGTAATTAAACAGACCATCACAAGACGTTGTAAAATGTTTGCTTTTTTCAATGCCACTTGTTCAATATATCGTTAATTAGCATGTCACTTAATTAATCAGTCACATTAACTTTGCTTAAAACGCTTTTTAAAACGCTAGCGTAACACCAACGTAACAATATGAATGGCAAAGCTTTATAAAACGTGAGAATCAGATAAGTTTGTTGTTGATGATTGGTCTCTAATACCTTGTATTTTTTTCAGAGCTTGCTTGCAGTCATGCCTGATCATTTCATTGATAGTATTCGCTCCCGTTGCAACTGGTCTTAGTTTACATCTACTGAAAATGGACTTTGTCAAGATCATTGCCATTGGTGGATTAATGTTATTCGAATATCTTTGTTTCAGGTATTTCAATTATTATCAGTTTTCCTTTATTAATATATTATCTCTGACATATAAAAATTTCGAAGGACAAGAATTTTGCAAGAAAATAAGATGGGGTATGTCTTTGTTACTATGGAATAAACTTTGTTCTCAATAAAGCAACGTTTGGCCGAAGATGAGACGCCCCTTCTCCTGATCTTAGTGGCCCGTATGTTGGGACTTAACGCCCCCACCCCTCCCCAATTTAGCTTTATATTGTAACGAGAAGCTGTTTTGCGCAGTAGAATTAGACTGAAGCTATTCTACACAAGTTCGTAATACGTCTTGCATAGGCAAGAACCGCATTTTGTACCTTAAGCACCTCTTCCTGGTCGTTGTTCCTTATTATTTGCTCCGCTTTGCAACCGTCCCGTTATTTATTCAATTCAATAGTTGTATGCTGAATATATCCCGACGGATTTTGGTTCTAGGCTCCTTGGTGTTAATATCTTTTCAACTCTAAGAAGAGCTCGGATTCAGGCATTTCGAATCCTGGATGCAAAATCTGAAGATGCAAATATTGTTGAGGAGGAGATTGATGCGGATCCGTCGGAAATTGTCCCGATTTGATTTGTATTGGACGCTGTCGTTTCAGGTATTCAACTCACCCAGACTTAAACACTCGCTTGAACTTTTTTGTGATTAAATCACACACAGTGTTTAGAAACACATGCCTAATAATATATAAATTTTCAGAGTTTTTAGTGTATGAAATAGCTAACTAAATTAACTTGAGTCCAAGCCACGCACCTAAATCTCCATATAGAATGTCCAATCCACAAACTTTGGGCCTGCCACCTCGCTTGCCGGTTTTGCTGTTGTGTATTTTTTTAACTGTTGAATGTTAGTTCAAGTAAACCTGAAGCTTATTACAGCATGGCAAATGCTTTGAAAAGGCAAAATATCAAATCTTGGCTTTTTAGCCACGGAACTCTTACAAGAGCAAAATCTATTTGCATCGGTAGGTGATCTTTGTTCACAGAATGTTTGCTTTTTATTTGACAGAGTTTAGCACTTGCATAATCAAGACTACAATCTTATCCAGAAGTCTTGGTACAATACCTAAATTTTGGCCCATTCTAAGTGGCACGAAACCTTCCCCCTACGAACAATTTTATTTATCATAATATCAGTATCCAGAAGCTATTCCAATTAGCGCCTATCAAATAGTTATGATAGGTAACTCTGCAGCCAACATTTATTTTGGGAAATCAAAGCTACAGTGTCCTTCATTTATACCGAAAATTTTTTCATTTATCAAAACAGCTCTTAGGCTACAAGTCGTTCCAAGTACTTCTGAGGATTTCTCTGACAGCATGAGCTCTTTATGAGTTAAGTGGGTCACATGACTACTTGCACTCTTTTAACATTGGTGACAATCCTGCTTCCATTTGTCATCATCGATCTCTTATGCGTAGCTCCTGTTTCTGACCAAAGTATAGAGACAAAATCCGACGTTTGCATTGAAATCATAGGCGTAGAAACCGGGGACACAGGGGAGGAGGGCACCTGCTCTAGAGGTAAAACACCTCAGTAGAGGTGTCCTTTTTGACTGCATAGACCCCTCCTCCACTTTTAAAATTCTTTCTACTTGTAGTTTGAATCACGAGCAAATAAAAACTTTGCATTCTCAAGGTCCATTGCAATCCATATTTGAAACGCAGGGAAAGAATGTGAACCATAAAGAGGTCTTTGCTGGTTTTCTACAAAAACTAGAATGTGTTTTTATAGTTGCACCGCTGTTGTTCCCAGTCATTGTAACTACTTGTGCCAAAGTGACAGTACCAATATTGGATGAGAAGAGTCACCCGATATTGACACTGTTATTGTACTAATATCAAATAGGTCATAAGTTACTTTGCGACGGTTGCCTACGGTATTATTTCAAAAAGCCTGCTAAGTGGGCTAACATAAGGTGACACGGTGGAAAATTAGTTCTTTCCAGTGTGTAGCTTGGACAAATTAAGTGTCCTTACTTAAATACTGCATTTTAATGCAGTGTTGAGAAGTAGATGATTTAATTTATAAACTTTTTTGATATTTTTTTATTTAATTGGCTAATTGTAGAGAGCATCATAGTATTAATTAGACTAGAATGATTTTGAGCAGTACTTGAAAATACCTTGAAATCTTTCCACATTGATTAGAAAAATCTCAACTAGTAATTGTTACGTTGTTATTTAATTCGACTAGTGATTGAGGGCCTTACACCTTGAGTTATTTAATTTCATGGAAACAAGATTTTAATCGATGCCAATATGAAACCAAGAAGGGAAATGGCCTAATCAGGGATGTTTGAAATTGTTTAGGGCCGTTTAAAAAGAACGTTATAATGGTTATATGACATTGCATGCAAACTGTTTACCTAAAGGTAGATGAAATCGTTAAACTGGGGGAGTGGGACCAGGGTTGTAGTGCTAACAACTAACGGGGAGGCTCTTGCGCAAAATGTTGCAAAAATAGAGCTTAGATAGAAACTGGCTGCTTTTCGCGATTAAAAAATGTTCGCAGCCCCTCCTAAGTCCCCTAGCACTACACCTTTGAGTGTGATTCTTAATTTATTTGAAATGAAAAAACAGAATATTCAGCCGTATTCGATTGGCGTCGTTTTTATAGTGTATCAAAATTCTTTTGAATAATTTAGACTGCATTTTGTAGTATTTTCCTTTCGCTGGACATAAATTCCCAGGGAATTAAATGATTTCTTGTGTGATTAATTGATGTAATATTTTTTATGTAAAATTGAAATGCTAATTTCGATTGTAAAATGATGTTTGTGGTGGTTGAAATAGATTATTCTGATTTCAGTGAGAAACGGAGATCAGTTGCTGATTCGGCATTATTTTCTATTCTTACAAACCTTGTTGGTTACAATACCATTTTTTCCTTGTCAAGCATGCGTTGAAAAAACGTTAAATTCATTTCTCAGAATTCAGACTCTTTCATGTAATGAGAAATTCATGTTCTCCGTATTTTTGCGATTGATTGCTTAAGCACAAGTTAGTTGGCAACTCTAATATATGGCCCAGCAAAATTAACGCAAAAGCCTCTCCCTGGAAAGACACAGTGGCGACAAAAGGAACTTGCATTCGTGGAAATTTTGTTTTGAGTGGTTTTTAAACGTAGTGATATTCGCGCAGTGGGTGCCCCCCCCCCCCCAAGCAGTGACGTAACCGACGTAGGTGCAGCCGACGTAGATTGGGGCTAGGGCAACTCTTAAGGGCCCCCTAAAGGTTGTAGCGATACAGATTTGTTTGCATTATTTGGTGTAAAATGGGATTTAAGAAACAAATATTCTCAAGTTAACATGTTACATGAAAACACAGAGTTCGCTAAACTACAAGACACAAATTTCCTTATTTGTCCAAGTTTACTGTGTGAATTCTAAAAGTATAGAACAACAGTTTCAAACTTCACAATCTTTTATATATCATTGGGACAAAATATCTTCAAAAAGTTAATTCAATCCAAATTATATATATAAGAGATTAAGAAGGACTTGCAGGAGCTAAACCTGACGGTGAACCTTGCTTGGAATAGGAAAGAGTGGCGGAGGAGGATTCGGGCGGCCGACCCTGATTAATCGGGACAAGGCCTACGTGAAGAAGAAGAAGTCTTCAAAAAGTTAATTCAATGCTAGAGCAGAAAAGAAACATGAAGAAGCTCATTCCGGCACAAAGTGAATAGCTTTTTTCATCCAACAGATCCCGACAAAAGCATCGAAGGTATCTCAAATCCCTTGCACTTCGTGACTTGTGGAGTGGGCCCTGTGTTCTTTCCATGAAAAGCTAGAAGTTGGCTACTCGACATTTTTGCGATTATTAAGGCCTGTAGATTGTCATGTCCCTTGATTTTGAGCTGTTGCCAAAATATTTACATCTTTTGTATATTCTTTATAATCTGAAATCGTTTTATTCCTTATTGATCCTCCAGTACTTTTATCTTTATTTTTGCCTGGATTTTGGAAATAATATGATTTTGCAGAGGCATCCGAACAAAGTATTCCTAAGGGCCCCGAACTGTTCCCTTACGACACGGTCCCCAAGCTACCACCACTACCCCCCCCCTCCCCGTAATCTCCACCACTGGCTTCTTGCACGCGATAGCACTAGAGGTAAATAATTTGGCATGCAACAGGGTAAAGGTCGTAAATATTGCCATCGATTAAGCATAGGGTTTTGGTAAAATACACTGGTATATACATAGGCATAGATTTTGAATGAAAAAGGCATTAATTGAAAATTGGCATGCCCACACAAGGTATATAGGGCGAATGCATAAGCAGCAGACACAAAGAGACATCCCGCTTCTCTGCAAGACATTCTCGACGAGTCTAAAATATCCCTTAAGAAACTAACATTTTCTTTGCGAACATTTTTTTCTCTCAAACCCTTTACTGATTTACGAGCAAGCAGCTGTTTTGGTTGATAACATCCTATGTGACAGAGGGTACCAAAAAAGTACCAGGGAAAAAATATGCACTCGAATTGTTCTTCTTTATGCAAAGTGATTCAAAACGTGTCGTGTTAATTTTAAAAGAAACAACATCCTCACTATTCCTTCTCCTGACCCGACTCGAGGTCGTCACAACTATCCCTGCTTGATAAGAAGTTCTATGAATGTCAATAGGTACTCAAGTTCTGGAGAAGGGTATAATTCTTAAGAGTCATTGTGTTGTTTTGTCTTTTCGCCTCTTTCTAGGCGGCCGTGTAGCATTGCGGGTTGGCAAATTTCTTGGGCTATTGCTCATACTTTCTAGAGTAAAATGAAAATTGATACATGAAATTGGGTAAAGGCTTTTATGTTGAGGATTTCAATAGCTGTGAGTGTTAAGATCGACCATGGGATGTGACTTCTTTGGATGAACTGGGCAGTTCGTCGAACAATGATGTAGAGTCAGAATATGAAAATCGCAAGACGCGTTCTTTTGTTTTCTCCAGCTTTTCTAGGCTTCTATTTGTTCCCAGTTGTTGCAGATGTGAACTACTCATACCCTGGGTGCCAGAGCCACAAAATTTCGAGCACGGAAATTGAAAAACCAAGTGGAGAAGCGGAGGATAATTTAGCTGAGAGGATGGAAAACTGGCTCTAGAATAACCCTCACCTCTGTGGCAAACTATCTTTCAAGGCTTGTTCTTGACCTGCATGGTCTTATCTTTAGTTGCTCGAGCCTTTTTTGCAGGGGCTCACATAGCCGAAAAGTAGATGCCTTTAGAAAAAGCTATGACAGGATATCAGAGATTCGTTCTCTTTTTGTGAAAAAGAATGTTTTAACTGCAACAGCTGCACAGCAAGTTACAAATGCAATCATAAAAAAGTTGGAGCTTCAAAGATTGTTGTCAATCATAAAGTTTCCAGAGCGTACCAAAATTAGATATCCCTTGGTATCTGTAAAAGAAAATTACCCTGTTAAAAATCTTTCCTATCTCTTAGAAAAAATAAGAACAGGAGGATGTAGGGTTGCAAGGACATAAATATTCTGCAGGAGTAAAGAGCATGTGAAAAAGCTTTACAGGAGCTTTGACAACTGTTTACAATACCTTTTTCCAGAACCTGAAATTAAGCCCTATGAAATGTTTATGGCAACAACTGAGGATTCAATAAAGAAACACATCATTGAACCATTTGGAAATCCAGAGGGCACAGTGAGAGTTTTATTTTGCACTGTCGCGTTTGGAATGGGAATCGATTGCAACGGTCTTAACAATATAATTCATTATGGCCCCCCTACAGATCTTGATGACTACTGTCAACTTCAACTTCAACTTCAACATTTCATTATCAGTATATTTTAAATAATTACAAGTGATACGATATTGCTAACATAAACGATTAGAAGATTTAAAAGGCATATTTACATGAAATTGTCAGCAAGGAAAAATTAAATACTGAAGGACACGTAGAAATAACTCAGAGGAGCTTTCGAGCTACTCTACTTTTTGTGTTTCTACAGGTTACATTGCATATATTTAAAGAAACAGATTCAAGGAAAAACATGTATGTGAAGTTGTATCAATAACAAAAACAGCAAGAATATATAATGAAGGAAACAACTTAAAGAAAGTAAAAAATAAAAATTGATATAAAAAGAAAAGAAAGTAGAGAACTAAAGAGAAGGGAAGTGCAATTCAAAAGTTGATCATAAGATGCCATTTGAAGGCCTATTAATTTTTTTTGAGATATATTTTTAAGTGCTTATTAAACGTTTGTTTTTTTCATTACGCAATTCAAGAGGAAGAGAATTCCAGAATTTAACACCCTGATAAGAAATAAATTTTAGACGATAGTCAGTAGCCCCAAAATGAAAGGGAGAACAAGTCCAAAGAGGATTGACGGGTATTGTGATGGTGTACATCACTGCTTTTTTAAACAGGCTACTGAAGAGAGAAGGAATGTTCTTTGAGTTAATGTCAAACATGAATTTTCCTAGTTCGCATTTGTATGTATTATCAAAATCAAGCAAATAAAGTTTTTCAAAGATTGGTTTCGAATGATCGCTTTTTTTGCAAAAGTTATTGTCCTCTGCTAAATTTTTGTGACCTTTGTCTTATTTAAGAAGAAACTCATTCTTGTCTTCGACAGGTTTGATTCTTTTCTCCATCGCAGCAAACTGATCTTTGACTTTTATACCTAAATCAGTAATCATTTTGATGATGGTTTCAAGGCGCTCTTCCACTTTTGAATTGGCCATAATGTTGCGATGAAGCCTCCGATTTTGTTTAACACCAAGTTTCCATTTAAATTGCACTCAGAAATATAACTATAATTAGTATGATATAAAAAAACTAAAAATGGTAATAATGCTGAAGTTAAATAACGAACTATCTGATCATTTTCCCGAGAGTTCAGAAAACACGTCTGCATGCCACAAGGTCACGCGGTCAAGAAACAGGAAGAGCTGGATAATCAATGGAAGCAAGCCATGCTACTCTCATTACTTTCCCAAGATGTACAAGTTCAAGAAGTGAAGTATTGCAAAAGAAATGAAACAAATTAGGGTGAAGTGCAGGCGGGAGATGATATTTGTCAATTTCCCAGGGGAAAGGCAGGCAGTCACTCCTGGCGTGATGCTTGTGCTTTATTAAATAGTATTGATGGTAAATAGTAGCTACTAGTATGGTGATATCTGTAATAGGAATAAGATTATGTTGCCAGTTATATTTGAGACAGGGGCGAGAGTCAATCAGTTTTTCCCCTTCACGCAGAGCAGCTAACGGTCGGTATAAACCCCGTTTTTCCCGAAAAATGAGAAAAGATATTCAACTGATTTTTGTTGTAAATAGTAGCTACTAGTATGGTGATATCTGTAATAGGAATTATATTTTGTTGCCAGTTATATTTGAGACGACTTGGCCCTTTTTCTTATCTTCAACCTACTCGCGAACGCGAATCTGAATCTGATTCTGAATCTGATTCTGCAGACACGGAAGTCTGTTCATGCCGTTGGGGGTAAGGGTGTTCGCCAGGCCAATGAGATAGTGCTCCTTAGGCCTGGTTCAAACGTCGCGCTTCTCATGTGCCGAACCTAACTCGAGAATTAAGTACATGAGGGGCGCGACGTTTGAATCAATTTGGTACGGCAGATTTAGTTAGGAGCGGCAGACTAGTTTGGATCGGCAGAGCTTGCCGAGCTGCACGGCTCCAGCACGGCACGATTTCAAGCGTCGAACTTGTCATGTACCGAACTCAATGCATAATTATATTCAATTTATTTTCCTTCCCAGAATTCATTTCTTTCTTGGAGGGCGCATGCGTTTCAAACAAATATTTGAGATTGCGCGCCTTAACCAAGATACTTCATGTAGCAACCCTAAAACCCATTTGGCGCGACA